TATGCGAATGAATGGCGCTGTTCATCAGTAGTCTCTTGTTTTTTGCAGAGAGCTACCTCTCCCTGATAACAGGAGAAGCTGTTGGCGCTTGTGCTATGGTAGATGTCATATTGTGTTCCATGCATTTGATTGTGCGTTGCACAATTGATACAGACCACTTGCCATGATCTGCATTTACGGGTCTGGTGCTGACCTTCACAATTGCCACATATAGGCTTGTTTCGTGGGCAGTCCTTGGCTAAGTGGCGGAAGGCCTGGCATTTATTGCATTTTTTAATGTGGAAAACTTCCTCGCCTGGTACATTATCCAGTTGATTGGGAGTTCTCCTATTCTTTTCAATTTGTGGAAGGACTCGCTGAGAGTCTCCATCACCCAGTGAGATGTTGCTGAAGTCTTTCCTGAGAGTTTAAACCTAAGCCTCAGATGTTCCTGGATTCGTGCTCTCGCTGCCAATGCCTCTTGAACTTCCTCGATTGGTATTTCTGATGGTAGGTTGTATAAAATGATGCTGGGTTGCTTTTTCCCCGGCGTTTTTGTTTCTGTTTTGGCTCTTAGGGTATCTTTTGTGAAATTGTTTCCTTTATCTTGTCTATGTCAGTTTCTTTGTTGCAAATTACTGCCAAGCCTTTCTCTTTCCACGGCATCTATATTGGAAGAACTTATGATAAATAATATTGCGATATGCCTTAAAAATATATAAGTGAAAGGCCAGAGACACCAGCGAGATTCGAACTCACGATCTCATGTTTACTAGACAGGCGCTTATAATAGATAGTATTGCGATATGCCTTATATATGTGTTGGAAAATATATAAATTAAACACCAAAGGCACAGGCGAGATTCGAACTCACGATCTCTTGTTTACTAAACAGGCGACTTAACCAACTAAGCCACGGCGCTTAATTTGGAAGAACTTATGATAAATAATATTGTGATATGCCTCGTATATATCTTGGAAAATATATAATTCAAATGCCAAAGGCACCGGCCACATTCGAACGCGAGATCTCCTCTTTACAAGACAGGTACTTTAACCAACTAAGCCACGGCGTCTATAATAAACGAAGTTATGATAAATAATAATGCAATATGCCTTATATAAGTCTTGGGGGGGGGAATATATAAGTGAAACACCATACGATGGAGAATGTTCATGATAAGTTCTGGGTTCATATTTGTTATTAAATGCATGAGATTGAAAAATCCACGTTCACTAGAACACTCGGAAACTGACAACAAATTCAATTCCATTCTAAATACCAAGGAACTAAATTATGTACAAGATTGGAACAATTTACAAATTCAAAGCTATTTAAAGTTAGATTTCATTGTGAGCAATGCTTTCTCTGGTTGAAGACTTAGAGAGATGATACGTACTAATTTACTTAGTACATGTTATTTGTTGAGTATCCCTGCAGTGTCACCAGAGAACTTGCTAAGAAGTGGAAATACAGCTTGACAAAGTTTATCTTTGATGTATTAGGAGATGGTATCAGTGTATGGGAGGGAAGGGCTCGAGGGAACTTCACCTGGGTTAATCTGGTTTAAAGAGATGTTGATTGTTGTTAATATATTTAACAACTTCTCTGATGCGGAGTCCTGAGTGTTTATTGGCTGCCACTCTGCTGAACCATAATTTTTGAAGGTTGTATGCTGGTTTTGTGATATCCCAGGAAAGTGTCAGGAGGCACTCAGTTGCATAATGTAACGGTGACCCTTCCTGTCCGCAGCTACAAAGTGGAGAGGGAGCTATTTTAAATCTGTTGAAGTATGAGGTAAAGGGTCCATGTTGAGTGAAAAATATGATTTTTTCTCTACTCCAACCCACTGGATTTAGAGAGACTTTTGGCAGGATATTATGAATCGGGAGGCCGGTTTCACCTTTTTCCCAGTGCTCCTGCCATTCAATAAGTAGATGTTTGGTGAGATTAGATTTTAAGAAGGTTTTTGATAATTTTATTGGAAGTGGGTCATTATCTGAATCTGCAGCTTCTTTGGCCAATTGATCTGCTGTTTCCAAGGGTGCCACATATGCTTTTATCCAGCTTAGTTTAATATTTAGGTTTCGAATGAAAGATATGAAGATGTCTCTGGCTATTTTGTTTCTTGTTTTTGGGTTTATTTCTGCTTGGGTGGATGCTTTCCTGTCTGAGAAGATCTTTATTGGAGTTGTTACTGGATATTTTTGTGCTGAAACTACTGCTTTACTGAGAGCCAAAAGTTCTGCTTGAAAAACTGTTGTGAATTGAGTTTTATCAACCAGCTTTCTGATACTTGGTTGTTGGATATTCGACAGAACGCTGCCCTCACGCCTTGTTCTGTTTTGGAGCCGTCGGTGTAAAGAGCTTCCTCTGGAAGGAAGGTTCCGCCATCAGCTAGTGTGACTTGGTCTGGAAGGGGTAGAAAGACGGATGTGTTGACCAGCCTGTTATGTTTGCCTCAAAGTCTTCAGGGGAGAAATCATATGGAACTGGTTTGCGAAGTCTGATTATGTTTGTTAGGGCTGCTTCTTGTTTGAATTTGAGAAAGACTGGTGGAAGGCCAAGAAGAACTTGTAATGCTGCTGTCGATGTGGTTCTATATACGCCAGTAATAGCAAGCAAGAAGCTCCTTTGAATATTGTCCATTTTTCTGGATATTCTTGAATTCGGGTTGGAACACCATGCCAATGAACCATGGGGGAATACTCTCTCTATTACTATATTATAGAGGATTAGTCGCTGGTTTCTATTTATGCCCCACGTCGAGCCTGCAATTTTTAAGAAATTTTGATGGAGTTGCTGTGCTTTTTGTGATAATTATCTAATATGAGTGTTCCAATTTAATTTGTCATCTATATAGAGGCCTAAATGCTTTATTGAGTGGGATCTTTTTGTGCGGTGATTTTTCCAAAATACTGGTGGTGCGACTACTAGTTTACTGAATAATATAAAGTTTGAATTGTCATGAGATATTGTAAATGAATTTGCATCGGCCCAATTTTCTATTATGGAGATAGCTTCGTTCGTAAGGTTTTTAATCCTTCTTTGATTAATGATTGGGTTATTAGGACTATGTCGTCTGCATAAGCTTGAATATGGGAGTTAGTTGGCCATGATTTGTTAAGAAGATCATTGACTACGATGTTCCACAAGGCCGGACCGTTACACGAGGCTTGGGGGCAGCCCTTAAGCTGGTCTCTGGAGACGATACCTTCTTGCGTGTTTAAAAGGACTTTTCTCCCTTTTAAAATATTCTCGAAAATGACCCCTAGATTGTTTGGAACTTCTGTCTTGATTAAATTATTGATTATTGCCTTTTGTAGAATATTATCAAATGCCCTTTTGATATCAAGGGAAAGCGCCAGGACGTGGTGATCAGCTCGGCGACCTTGGTGAATTATGTCGAAAAAAGAAGAAATTGCCGTAACCACCGATTTTCCTTCTCTGAAACCATGTTGATTTTCATTGATTTTGTTTTTGCTTTCTAGGAAAAATGTTTATATTTGTGTTAAGAGTTTTTCTAGTGTTTTGCCTATTGTTGGTAATAATGATATTGGGCGATAGGAAGATGGGAGCTTTGGGTCTTTGTCCACTTTTTGAAACAGGACAACGTTACTGATTTTAAATGCGTTTGGAAAGGTGCAAAGTTCTGGGCATTTATTGAAAAAGTTACATAATAAGCTTGGGAACGTTTTGTTTATAGATTTTAGAATAAGATTATAGATGCTGTCGATACCTGCCGCTTTCCCATTTGGCAGATTTGGAGATTTTATGATGTTTGTGACTTCACTTATTGAAAAGGGGATATCGTCTTTGATGTTCGAGTTTGTTATGAGCTGAGAAATTGTCGTGGTTGGTGTGGGAAGATTTTGTTCAATGTTCCTTGGGCTATCTTCATATGACTACCCGTGGAATTGATGTCTTCTAGTACAAAGAGTTGAGTTGGCAGAACTGTTTTAAGGAATGCTACTTTGTAACGCTTCTTATATGGGTATTTTGTAGAGGAGCATGTTTTCTTCCGGCCGGCATTTTTGCTTAGCCTGATCTGACGCATATATTTTGTGCGTTCTTTCTTCCAGAGTTGGAAGCGGGCTTGGCGGTAATCATCGTCATTTGACCTTTGTGCTCATCTGCGCAATGCTACCAGTTTGCATTTTTCCACTTCAGGTTGTGACGACCACCAAGTTGGATTTGAAATAATCTTATGGTGTTTAATTTTAAAGGCTATGTTACACGCTGATATGATTTCTTTTTGGAGTTCTTAACAAATTGAGGTGTTCTGGGAAGTTACAAGACGCTATTTTATCTTCTAAAATGTGAACTTTTGGTTTTAGTGAATCGGTGAATTTCTTATGATTGCCGTGAAGGGTCTTGTATCTCTTTAATTTAAAACTTGGTATTTTTGAAGCCATTGTTATATGAATACATTGGTGATCACTATTTGACACATCTTTTAAAACTTCCCATTTTGATACTTTTTCTATCAGATGTTGGGAACTAAGCGTCTGATCTGGCCAGCCCTGTTAATCGTTGTAATTTAAAAGGAATGGTGGGGCGTCTTTGGAGTTGAATATAAACAAGTTGTTTGCTAATATAAAGTTTAGTATTTTGAGGCCTCTTGTATCTTCGTCATTATATCCCCCAAAAGAGCGGTGACCATTCAAGTCCGCACAAATTATTACTCTTTTTCCTTTTTTATTGCTACCAGAATTGATTGAAGATCCTCCAATGTCCTTCCTATGTTATCTCTTGGCTATGAATATGCTGATATGAGTGTCAATGGAAAATTATGTGTGTGAATTTATATTGCTATTGCATTATCTTTTCTAGGCACTCTAACCAACTAAGCCACGGCGCCTAAATTGGAAACACTTATGATTAATAACACACAATCTCCTGTTTACTAGACAGGAGCTTTAACCGACTAAGCCACGGCGCCTCTGCAGGAAGCACTTACGATAAATAATATTGCGATATGCCTTATATATGTCTTGAAAATATATAAGTGAATTACCATAAACACCGGCGAGATTCTATATCACGATCTCCTGTTTACTACACAGGCGCTTTAACCAACTAAGCCACGGCGCGTATATTGGAAGAGATTATGATAAATAATATTGCGATATGCCTTGGAAAATAAAGAAGTGAAACGCCAAAGGCACCGGCGACATTCGAACTTACAATCTCCCGTTTACTAGACAGGCGCTTTAAAGCCACGGCGCATCTATAGGAAGCGCTTATGATAAATAATAATATTTCGATATATGCTTTATATATGTCTTAGGAAAATATCTAAGAGAAACGGCAAAGGCACCAGCGAGATTCGAGTTCATGATCTCGTGTTTACAAGACTGGCGCTTTAACCAACTAGGCTACGGCACCTCGCTAGGAAGCACTTATGATAAATAATATTGAGATAAGCTTTATATATGTCTTTGGGGAAATATATATAAGTGAAACACCAAAGGAACCGTCAAGAATCGAACTCACGATATCCTGTTTACAAGACCATAATAAGTTAATAGAACCATTTTTAACCGACTTCCAATTTTTAAGTTTAATTATAGAACTATTAAAATGTCTACTTTAAAATATTTGGGTTTTTTTATAGATTGCAAGACAAACCATATTTCGTATTTACGCAAGAAATTATATAATTTATGTCTAAATTTCAATCGCGTTGTTGGCTCTAATTGTGGGGTTTCTCCCCATTTTTTAAAATTATGGTAATATTCAATTATAGAGAAAGCTGCTGTAGTTAAGAAACATTTCGAAAAATGCGAGAAATTCGCAATTAATACGAAAACTATGTTTCAAAATCAGTTCTGGAGAATCGTGTGATATTCAATAGAGTATCATATACATATTACAGTGAAGATTCGGTCACGAGGGCAATTAGGGGGACCACCAGAAAGGGATGAAGGCCAAAATGGAGTTTGACTCATCCTGATTCACAGAAAGTTGATAACGAGATGCAACTTTTATCAATGGTTATGGTTTAATGTGTATAATATTTACATGCATTTTCGTAAACACAGCACAAATATTCGGGAAGATATAAATGCTTCTTTAAAAAATCCCAAATTTTTCCGCATGTGTTTTACTTATAACATGCAGAGTTTTCATTCAAATTATTCGAAATTTGCAGAACACTTGTCAATATGTTACAGAAGTATTGTATTAAACTTTGAAGTAAATACATTGAATATTACAGGAAATATGAGTATTTGTACTAAATAATTTTTTACTGCGCATGTGCGAGTAAAAATTAATAAATAACCAAAATTTTCTCAAAATAGCAGGCAGATCCTGGGGTATCAATCAAATGCATCGTCGAATTTTGTACAAGACCGTAATCGAAAGAATGATGGTCCATGGTGCGGCAGTGTGGTGCCTAAATCGAGCAGTGCACATGGCACGTAAATTTTCTTCAATTCAGAGACCCTTCCTGCTAGCCATCTCCGGGGCATATAGGACGACACCAACGGCAGGCCTACAAATAATGCTAGGCATTCCACCCCTGAATCTTCAATTGCAGGCCGGTGCAAGGATGACGGTCCTCTACAGACTCCGCAGACAAATCAACGACATCATCATTCAGCCTGACGACTTAGAGAGTAGAAAGGTGGGCTGGTCAAGACACCCTTCCAATTATCTCACTCAAGAGCAGCTGCAACTAGAGGACGGAGGCAAAAACCATACTCGGCTGTTCACGGATGGCTCAAAGACACCGAATGGTGTGGGAGCAGCCTTCTGTGTCATGGAAGATGAGGGTGATCGCACATCGGTGGTCTTCAAAACTCAGACACGAAAACACCGTCTTCCAAGCCGAGCTTCTAGCTCTTAAAGAAGCCATTCAATACTTCACCTTTATAACCTCCCATCAGACCATCAAAATCCTCCCTGATAAACTCTTTATTATCGGTGAGGATTTTGTTGGATGATCTCGTTCCTAGTTTACCAGCATCCAAGCCTCCTCCAACCCAAAGACCCACAACGCAACGGCTTGACAAGTATTCGAGACCCTCCTGGAACACCCTCAAATAGAGTTGCAATGGATAAAGGCGCATGCGGGATACTTAGGAAACGAAACATCAGACTAACTAGCAAAATAGGCAGCAGAGTCCGACATAACACCACTGATCATAAATCTCCCTAAATGCCATTTAAAGAGTGTACTAAGAGCAATAATGATCAACACGTGGCAAAAGAATTGGGACGAAAGTAAAACAGGAAGGAAAGTCCACGACATCCTGACGAAAGTCTCGCTTTCACCTTCCAACTGGGGAAGAACCGAAATGCTGTTTTTCACAGGTCACGGCACATTCCAATACTACCTTAAAAGGTTCCACCTGTCGCACACATCAAACTGCAGCTGTGGAGAGGAAGGCACCCCAATTCACTATGCAACAGATTGCATCCTGACGACATCATGGCATATGTCCAAACCTAGTGCTTATCTTGAGAAAGAATGATACAGAAGAGTAGCCTCTAACCAATTATCCCGCAACAAAATCCGTGCTATCATTGCCCACATCACTAACTATAATGACCTCTTCAGACCAGACCCGCCGTAGCCCCTTCTGATCACCTGCCAGCCTTCTGTTCCTAGTTTACCCGTTTTCGTCATCGTATTCACCATCTGTGATTCTGTATTCCTCATCCTCTTTTTACCATATTATTCCAAGTGGAATTTCTCCCAATCTTCCAAAGAACAGAAATTTTTAGACTGCCACACAGTCATCGGTCGCATATCTTGTCTGGAGACCACCTCTGTTAAATTCTTCTCTGTATTGAAATGTTATTACACTTAATTTGTTTTATTGTCTTTTTTTTATTTTGAGTTCTTGTCAAAAATTCCTATCAATAATATCCACAATGAGAATAGTCTCACATCCTGTTAGGGTACCGCATCTCTTAAGACTATCTATGTAACCACTTGTTGAATATCTAGACTTCCTATTCATTTCGTCTCAATTACTCTTGTATAACATGTTCTTCGCCCGTGCAATTCTTGATAATTAATAATACCTGTACTTATATTGAACGGTTTCGAATCTTGTATGGGGACTAAACAATCTAATCCAACAATGTGGATACATGTCAAGAATATTAATCCTACAAGCCAATTTATGTAACCTGCAATATCATTCTGTGCTCGAAATTCTTTGTTTGTGTTACTGTTTGTGTTTTATGTGTTTGTATGTGCACTTATGTTATTCAAGAATTTATTACCTGTAACCTTCATGTAAAACTTACTCTCTGATTCATAAATAAAGTACCGGTGGGGCGCTGGCCCAACGGAGGGTTTTGTTCGCCTTTCCACTCCATGCTCATCAAACTGGTAAGATAACCCTAGAAGTTATAGGTATCAGGGGCATGGGGTGGTGTTAATGCATTTGGTGGAAATCCCTAAATAGTCAACAAATTGGCAAGCTCCAGAAGCAGATTTTTCTTCCTAAAATCTCTAGAGTATAATGCACATGTACTTAAGGTAATATTGGGAATATCCCCCCTTACACATATCCGCCAGTGCTTTGGTAAAAAAGTTTGATCTTTGGGTCTTGAGACTCGAAGAACATCAACATATCTTGAATGTTGACAGTTTGGACTTTAATAGGGAAACTAGAGTTATCCCAGCCAACCAGAAATTTTTAGAGATGTAGCTAAGGAGGATTTTCTGGCTGATTTTGAAATCTATACCGATGGATCCAAGGTTGATGGCAACTTTGGGTTCTCGGTATGCGTTTTCAAAAATAATGATTTATTTGCAGTTTCCTGTTTTAAATTGAATTCGATTAACTCTGTTTCTCAGGCCAAGCTGGACGCAAATTATTTTGCCACTGGTTGCGCCTTGGAGAACGGAGTTAAAGTCAAAACTTATTTGGATAGTCTTTCTTCAATTGAAGCATTAAAAAGCTTCAAAGTTAGATCCAATTTTGTCAACATAATCAAAAATAACATTTTCAAATCTAGGGATCTCGTCAGTCTCTCCTGGGTAAAGGCATATGCCGATTATCTAGGGAATGAGCTGGCGGATCATTACGCTAAACAAGCCGCCATTGGTGGCATATTAATGGACGCTCCTATTCCTTACTCTTTTTTCAAATTGAAATGTGAAGAAAATCTTATTTCCTCCTGGAATGACTTTTGGTTAGTTAATGCGAAATTATTTCAATGCTGTTTACACTTATTTTTACGTGGACCTAATACCATTATAAAAAAATGGTATAAAATATAAAATAAAAAATTCCTACAAATGATATTAAGTTAATTCGATTCCTTATACTCTTAAACTAACCTAAACCCTAAATTTTATTTTTTAAAAAACTTCTTTGTGCAAAGGGATGCTTGGGGAGGTGTGGTAGTAGCGGATACTCAAACGGAAAAAGACTAATCAAGGGGTATGGGAGAAAAAAAAGTTGGGGAACCTCTGTTCTAGTTGACGTCGGTTAGGCTTATCGTCCATTGATTTCCATAGGAAGGGTCAGTATGGCATATTGGAAAATAGAATTCTGTCCATATTTGCGGTAATTCATCAATTTCTAGTCGGTCCCTGAATTTCCCTTGCGACCGAAACTTCAATCTAAAATGTGAATTCAAGCTTCTTCTTTACATGGTCGAAGCCAAAGAAAATCCGTCTAGACTTTCGGGAGATACGCGGAAAAATTTGCAAATCCAAAGGTGTTTACATTATTCAACCACCTGTAGCTTATTTCAAGTAGCAATATTAGAAGGGAGTCGACCAGAACATTTGCTACAGAAAGGTTTAACAGAAGTGCATTCCTGTGTTGAATGACCATAGTCTTGACAGAAGGTACATCTTTTAATATGAAAAAATTCCCGATGCTGAACATTGACCATTTGATTTGTAGCTTCCTTCCATGTTTCAGTTCGTTAAAATCTGGTTGCAGGTGTTACTCTACTTTTATCTTTTCCGGAAAGTTAAATAAAAAGGATGTGAAAAATTTCTCTATAAGTCACTAGGTTGAGTTAATGATAATTAGAGCGTTCAAGTCACCTATTCTCATATTGATGATAATTACTACAGCAACAATAAAAAAAATAGAATCTTCTCCTATCGAAAT